CTCCGCAGGAAGCCTGCTTCTCCCTCTCCCACTCCCCCTGCTTGTGTTCCCTCTCTCGCTGTCTCTCTCTCTGTCAAAAAATAAATTAAAAAATTAAAAAAAAATTTTTTTAATTAAAAAAAAAGAGAAACCACAGGCCCTCCCCCCTCCCCCCCATTCAATTTAAGCAGTCATTTTCCACAGTAGTACATTTTCTAGATACGTCTTGTAGACCTCAAAGCACTGGAAAGGACGCTCCCGTTCAAAGGCAATTTATCTTAAGATACTGTAAACAATACTAATTTTTTGTCCATTTGAAATATATATTAGTTGTGCTATAACAACAACAACAACAAAAGAAACAAAGGTTAAATCGTTCACAAAAGTCCATCAGATCACAATATTTCCTGAGTATCTACTTAGTGCCGGGGCAGTGGGAAGCATTAGGGATATAATAATGAAAGAAGAAACCCAAAATCCCAGGTCTGTGGTCCAAGTGCCCATCTCTCCACTGGCCCAGAGCTTCTCTCCTGAGGTGTGCACACACATCACCTGAGGACATGGTAAGGATGGATTCTGAGTCCATGGGCCAAGGGAGGGACCCAAGATTCTGCATTTTTTTTCACAAGGTTCCAGCTGATGTCAATGCTACTGGCCATGGAGTCTGTGAGTACCAGCTCTACACTGCTCTCCCCTCCAGCATCCCATCCCTTCACCTGGTTCTGTGCTCTGGACTCTGGGGCTCCCTCCCCTGTGGTTACCTCTGAGTTGTTCTCAGCCAGGTAATAAACAGCTACGCAGCAGGCAACCGCCACTCCAGTAGAGACAACCCAGGCCGCCAGGTGGGCAGAGAAGCGGATCAGCTGCTGATTGAGCGTTAACTTGACATTCTCCTGACGGATTTCTGACAGGTTTTCCTACAAATACAAGGAAGTCAAGCTGGTCCACAGGACCCTCTCCACTGTTAGCAAAGACTCTCCAGGTGAATCTTTGTCACTTCGAGACACAAACCCACAGAAGAAAGAAAGGGGAAAGTTCATGTCAGATGTGGATTATGAGAGACCCATAATTTCCCAATAAAGATCGGGAAAATCTCAAATGGACCAAGAACCCCCATCACGGCGTCAAACACTTTTTCCATCTTAGAGGATTGGGACCGTGCTCTTGAGGAAAGCGCTTTGAAGTCATGAAGTTCTCTTTTGAAGAACAGGCTGGGTATCTACACCAAGGAAGTTAGCATCTTCAAACCTCTTGTCAAAGCCCCTTTGCTAATAAATTCTGCTTGCTCTTTTTTTTTTTTTTTTCTATTTCACCCAACCTCCCATCCGGCAACCACCAGTTTGTTCTCTGTATTTAAGAGTCTGGATTTGGTTTTTTTTTGGTTTGTTTATGGGGTTTTTTTCCTCTTTCTTTTTAATAAGTTTTTTTCTACAGACCAGGGTTTCTCAACATCGGCATTAGTAACATTTTCAGCCCCTTTTCTGTGTTGTGACAACTTCCCTGTGTATTGCAGGATGTTTAGCAACATCCTGGCCTCCACCCACTAGACACCAGTAGCCCCCTCACCCTCACTGTGACAATCAAAAAAGTCTCCAGATATTGCCATATGTCCCCTGAGGGGCAAAACTGTCCTGAGTTGAAAACCACTGGAAAAAATAGTAAACTTGGAACTGTGAGGTCAAGAAGCATTTACACTTAACATTTTGATATAAATCCCTCAACTACCCTTCAGTAAGCTCGTACCAACTACAGAGCCAGCATAGCATGTGAAAAGGGTCATTCCCTAAACCATCACCAGCACTGGGCATTAGGAATATTTTTAGGTGTTTTTGGTTCAGTTTGTTTGTTTGTTTCTTTTCTTTCTTTCTTTTTCTTTTTTTTTTTTTTGCCAGACTCATGGACCACCAAAAAAAAATCATTATCACCTTAAGAAAAGTTATAGACATACTGAAGGAAGTTGGCTGTGGGAAGGTGTGTACAGCAAGCTCGCCTTACCCTTATTTCAGTGCTAAGATTCTTCTGTTTCAGCTTCACAGCTTTTTCATGAGTGACGGTGAAGTCCCAGCAGAAAATCAGTTTAGCGATTCCTCGGGAGTAAATGTGGGGGTTAATGAAGTTATTCCGGAAGTACCTAGCCATGCTGGGGAAGGCAGAAACCAAAATACTCAAGAGTTATTGGAGCAGGCATTGGGGAGTGCAGGAATTAAACAAAGGAAAGTCTGATCATCAACTGCGAAAAGCAACATGGCAGAGCCAGCCCCAGGTTCTACTGAACAGTGCAAGTGCAGACATAATGGTTAAGAGCATTGGCTTCAAGATCCGACAGGCCTGGCTGACTATCCTGGATGGCCACCTGGGGGATCTTTGTTGTTTTCACTGCTATGAGCCTCAGTTTCCATCTCTATATAATGGGGATAACCATAGGACCCACTCACAGAGCTTTATGAGAATTGTGTGAGTTTCTGTTAGCTGCAGTACCAAATTGCCCCGCACTCAGTGGCTTAAAACAACAACACATGTATTCTCTTACTGGAAGTCAGAAGTCAGAAAATGGTTCTAAACCCAAGGTGTCGGCAGAGCTGTGTTCCTTCTGGATGCTATCAGGGAAAATCTGTTCCCCTGCCTTTTCCAGCTTCTAGAGGCTGCCCGCATTTCTTGGCTTATGGCCCCTCCCATCTTCAAAGCCAGGAGAGCAGCATCTCCCATCCTCTCTTTGACCCTCCCGCCTCCCACTTGTAAAGACCCTGATGATTAACTGGCCCATTTTAAGATCCTTAATTTAGTCACATCTGCAAAGTCCCCTTTGCCGGGTAAGGTAACATATTCACGGGTTCTGGGGATTAGGACCTGACATCTTTGGGAGGCAGAGGGCAGTGTTCAGCCCACCACGCGAGGCAATGTAGCAGAACAGTAAGCACTTTATAAAGGCAGATGCTAGTATCACGGTGACGTCAGCAGGACTCAGTGAAATCAGCCCAGGAAGCATTTAGCACTGAGCCTGACATGTAAAAAATGCTGACTAAATTTCACTACCTCTCCAAAATTTGCCACCACTGACTTAACAGCAGCTTAAGAAACGTTTTTTAGTTTCAATAAAATCAAACAAAACGAAATCTCATTTTAATTTTTGAGTTATAGTGCTGGAAGTGAGGTTGTTACGGGCTGAATTGTATACCCTAAAAGTTTGTATGTTGAAGTCCTAACCCCCACTATCTCAGAAAGCGACAGTATTTGGAAGTAGGGTCTTTACCGAGGTAATTTTGTTAAAATGAGGTCATCAAGGTGGGCCCTCATCCAGTATGACTGATGTCCTTATAAGAAGAGGAGATGGGTAGGGACGCCTGGGTGGCTCAGTCGTTAGGCGGCTGCCTTCAGCTCAGGTCATGATCCCAGGGTCCTGGGATCGAGCCCCGCATCGGGCTCCCTGCTCCACGGGAAGCCTGCTTCTCCCTCTCCCACTCCCCCTGCTTGTGTTCCCTCTCTCGCTGTGTCTCTCTCTGTCAAATAAATAAATAAAATCTTTAAAAAAAAAAAAAAGAGGAGATGGGGGCGCCTGGGTGGCTCAGTCGTTAAGCATCTGCCTTCGGCTCGGGTCATGATCCCAGGATGCTGGGATCGAGCCCCGCACTGGGCTCCCTGCTCGGTGGGGAGTCTGCTTCTCCCTCCCCCACTCCCCCTGCTTGTGTTCCCCTTCTCGCTCTCTTTCTGTCAAATAAATAAATAAAAATCTTAAAAAAAAAAAAGGAGATTAAGACTCAGACATGCACTGGAGGGAAGACTATGTGAAGTCACAGTGGGAAGGTAGCCGTCTATACGCCAAGGACGGAGGCCTCGGAAGAAACCAACACACCAACACCTTGACCTTAGACTTCCAGCCTCCAGAACTTGAGAAAACACATTTCTGTGTTTAAGCCACTCAGTCTGTGGTACATGGTTATGGAAGACAAAGGCTGAACACCTGTACCTCCTCTTGGACAGTTGTCCCTTTGACAACTGTCCAGCCGTGCCCTTCTTGTCATAGAAACAGTTGGGTCGGGGGCGTCTGGGTGGCTCAGATGGTTAAACGTCTGTCTTCGGCTCAGGTCATGATCCCAGGGTCCTGGGATTGAGCCCCACATCAGGCTCCTGACTCAGCGGGGAGCTTGCTTCTCCTTCTCCCTCTGCCTCTCCCCCTGCTCATGCTCTCCCTCTCTCTCTCTCTCTCTGTATCACTGTGTCTCAAATGAATAAATAAAATCTTAAAAAAAAAAGAAATAGTTGGGTCACTATAACCTTATTTTCAGACTGACCGATTTCTTTGAAAGCACACAAAAACCTCTCTTCTTATCCAAACTTACAGTTTGTGGTTTTTTTAATATATTTTTTAAATTTTTTTTAAAGATTTTATTTGAGAGAGAGAATGAGAGAGAGAGAGAGAGTACATGAAAGGGGGGAGGGTCAGAGGGAGAAGCAGACTCCCTGCTCAGCAAGGAGCCCGATGCGGGACTCGATCCTGGGAGTCCAGGATCATGACCTGAGCCGAAGGCAGTCGCTTAACCAACTGAGCCACCCAGGCGCCCCAGTCTGTGTTTTAAAACAGGAATGATCAGACAGCAATAGGAAGTCAAAATTGTAGAGAAACTGTTTCCTGGGTCGCTTTTGAGTCTCTTGAATTTTATCTAAATCTAAACAGAGCTTAGAATCAAGAAATGTAGATGCTCCATACCTGAATAGCAAACTGAAAAAACAGATGACCAAACATGCTCCAATCGTGAAGAGGTAGGCCAGCTGCATGTTGTAGGATGCCCCACTGTTCCTGTGCCCAATCGTAGAATTGGTATAAAAGCCATAGTACATCACTGTGTTTCTAAAATAACCCTGAAAGGGACAATAAACCCTAGGTCAGATGGATCTATCGAGAAAACGATGACTATGGTCAGTCAGCACAGTGCATCTCTCCTATCTGCAAGAAACTTGCATCAGTCAGTTGAGAAAGGGCACCCAAGGCCGCTGAGAATGTAGACATTTTATCACTAGGCTCTTCGAGTTGGAAAGGACTCTCAAACCCTCCTTACAATGGAGGAACCCAGCTGTCACCACCTGAAACAGTGATCAAGCAAAGCATGACTAAAACCAGGAAAGCCAGCCATTATGGGCCTCTGTCATCTGTGAAGTATTATGGTCAAACATGTTCAATAGGAAAGGAATCAAGCCATTAGGTCTAAATTTCAATTTATGGGAAATAAGGGGTCAGAGTAACAAATCAGACAGAACATAAGGAAACAATCAGACAATTCCAGAAGGTAGGACATTGGTGTCCGCATGACAACTGGCCTGGTTCCTGCAACAATGTCAAGAAAAAAGGGGGCTGTGTCTGGAGAGATCATTCTAGATTAATTGAGAATTCAGAGAAAACACAAGCAAATGCAAAGTATGGGCCTTAACTAGATTCTGGTCTGAATGAGCAAGCTAGGAAAGACATTTTGGGGACAACTGGAAAATTTGAATATGGTTTGGAGTTTAGATAATATTAATTTTTAATTTTGCTAGATGTAAGAACTGCAGAAAGTGTCCTTATTTTTCAGAGATGCATGTTGAAGAAATTGGGAATAAAATGTCCTGATGTCTGTAATTTACTGTAAAATGCTTCCAAAAACTAAGATAAAACAATATGGGAAGATATTAATAATTTAAAAACCTATGTAGTAGCTATATGAATGTTTACTTACTACTCTTTACTTTCCTATATGTTTGAAATTTTTCATAATAAAATGTTTCATATATACAAATAGAAAAAATATACATCAGGGGCACCTGGGTGGCTCAGTTGGTTAAGTGTCTGACTCTGATCTCAGCAGAGGTCTTGATTCTCAGGGTTGTGAGTTCAAGCCCTTTGAGTTCCATGCTAGGCATGGAGCCCACTTTAAAAAAAAAAAATACACACATACACACACACACACACAACAAGGAGAAAAATGAAGGTGAAATTTATACAATAATTCCACTTCAGTGCACCTATCCCAAGGAAAAATTTTTAACAGAAAAAGAAATTAAAAAGATAAATGGAAGAACCTGACTTTGAACATTCTACTTCAAGAGTCAGCAAATTTTTTCTGTAAAGAGCTAGACAGTAAATCTCTTTGGCTTGGTAGCTACAGCAACTCCACTCCACCATAGCAGGAAGGCATCATAGACACATAAACAAAGGGATATGGCCATGTTCCAAAAGGACTTTATTTATGGGCACAAATTTTAATTTCACATATAATTTTCATGTTTCATAAAATGTTATCCTTGTTTTGATTTTTTTTTTCAACCATTTAAAAATGTAGAAACAGGTGGCAGGCCAGATTTGGTCCCAGCTGTCATTTGTCAATCCCTGGTCTATAGAATCCCAATGGCAGGAATGTCTTCTAGAAGGTAAACTTACAAGACAGGGGCCATATGTCTCTCAGTAGGGAGCTGGGTAAATAAATTATGGCTGCTATTAAAAAGGATACTGCGGATCTGTATAGATGCTCAAGATACATACCGAAGCAAAAAATGTTGCAAAGTAAGACCTGTAGTATCCTGGGTTTTTTTTTTTTTATTATATTTTTAAAGATTTTATTTATTTATTTGAGAGAGAGAGAGAGAGCACAAGAGGGGGAAGGGGCAGAGGGAGAAGCAAACTCCCTGCTGAGCAGGGAGCCCAATGCGAGACTCGATCCCAGGACCCTGAGATCATGACCTGAGCCAAAGGCAGATGCTTAACCAACTGAGCCACCCAGGTGCCCCAACTTTTTATATTATTTTTTAAATGTTTACCTATCTACCTACGTATCGACCTAAGTATCTAACTGCATATGTTTGTATGTACCTATCTATGTCCATATTGAAAGAAAACGGTGGACAAAGATACGCTCTGAGCTGGGGCATTAGACAAGGGAAAAAGGCTAACATGGACTTTCACTTAGTTTGCTCTCTTCTACAGTAGGAACCTTTCAAAAGGAGCACTGTATATTGTAGAAAGAAAAATAAGTGGGCGCCTGGGTGGCTCAGTTGGTTAAGCGACTGCCTTCGGCTCGGGTCATGATCCTGGAGTTCCAGGATCAGGTCCCGCATCAGGCTCCCTGCTCAGCAGGGAGTCTGCTTCTCCCTCTGACCCTCCCTCCTCTCATGTGCTCTCTCTCTCTCATTCTCTCTGTCAAATAAATAAATAAAATCTTTAAAAAAAAAAAAAGAAAGAAAGAAAAGGTAGCTCTATGAACACCAATATGAGATGTCCACCACAGAGCGGGTGAAACAAAGCAAGTCGTAGGCGGTATATATGAATAATTCATCTTTTGTTTAAAAAAACAAAAGAAAGGGATGCATATGTACATGTGTATGTATGTGCATGTGTGTGTGTCCATATGTGCACAGAAAAACAGATCATGAACAATACAAACTATTAACATGGTTACCTCTGTGTTGTGTATATGTCACTTGGGGGGAGAAAAGGAAACACGTTTTAAAGCCCCACTTTCAGGGCACCTGGGTGGCTCAGTCGGTTAAGTGTCTGATTCTTGATTTCAGCTCAGGTCATGATCTCAGGGTCCTGGGACCGAGTTCCATGTCAGGCTCTGCACTCAGCATGGAGTCTGCACGAGATTCTCTCTCTCCCTCTGCTTCTCCCCCTCTTCTCTCGCATTCTTTCTCTCTCTCAAATAAATAAATAAATCTTTAAAATAAACAAATAAATAAGTAAAGCCTCACTTCTATCAACTAACTCCCAGGCAAGTGAGAGGTCTGGAAGGGTGACTGGAAAGGTATGTCCAGGGGATTCCCAGCTGGTGAACTCCGGGTGGGCAAAATGAAGGACTTACCACCCCAGTGAAAAACTCCAGTCCGGTGAACTGGAGGGTGTTCTTCTCGGCCACCGTAAACTGAGGGATTATGATAAAGCTGAAGGTCACAATGAACGAGAAAATGTTGAACTTCAAAAGCCACCTCAGAAAGTTAAAATAGGAGAGGACGCTGGTTCCGAACTTGCCTCCGATGACCTTGAGCGTCTTCTGCCATAGGCTGACGGAATCGAGCAGTTCTGACAGGCTGTTCTTAGATCTCCGGTACGCCTGGGGTAGGGACACCAGGCATGAGGCTTAACATTCCCTCAACAAACACCTACTGGGTAGGTCCCGTAAGAGCAAAAACGACCACTGTATCTAGAGCATTATAACATGCCAGGCATGCGCTAAGCATGTTTGTAAACGTTATCTCATTTAATCTGCAGGACCACTCTTTAAGGTGAGTGCTATTATTACCTCCCCAGGTTTGCTGTCGAAGGTGACACTCACAGTAGCTCAGCTGTCCAAATAACTCAGCAACCTCTTAGACTTTTGCATCCCCACCTGGTTTCTCTGCACCTAGACTGACCCAATTTCTACGGCTTTCAATGAAAGAGCCCTGAATTTTGCTTTCTCTTCCCCTTGGGTCCCTTTCATTCCCACTCTGCCACCTCACTGTTTTTACTCTCTTGTTATGCCCATTTTATTGACTGCAATAGAGGCCTCTTACCCGTGAAATGGAGTTTAGACACTGAGCACAGCAGTTGAGCTCAAGCATACGACGGGATTGCTTACTTTTCTCTTTGTCAACCATTTTCCTGTGGGTAACAGCAGAAGAAAGGGAGAGACACCCATGCTGTAATGATTTCGTTCCCAAAATATTTACTGAGTGACTATGATGTGCTAGGCACAACCCAGGTAGCGAGACAAAAGAGAATGATTTCCCCAGCTCATGGAGCAGACATTTTTACTAGTTGGGAGAGAAAGACAATAAACAATAAATAAAAGGTGCACTATGGAAAAGAAAAAGGAAAATGGAGCAGGGTAAGGAAATGGGAAATGCTGGAATGGGGACTGTGCTATAGTTTGAAATAGCACAATATTCAAGCAAACTCCTCTAGGAAGGGAGGGGTTAGTTGTATGGATAAGGGATTGTTGTGTCCATAGGGAACAGCCAACCTGGGACCCGAAGGAGGCTGGGATGGCTAGAATGGAATGAACAGGGGGAAGGGAGGAGGGTTTGAGTGATAATGATTACAGGGAGAGGGGGAAAGGATCCTATAAGTCAGTGGTCCTCAACCTGGGGAGATTTTGCCCCCCAAGGGACATTTGGCAATGTCTGGAGACATTTTTGATTGTCAAACTCTGGGGGAGAAAGGCTTGCTACTAACACCTAGTGGGTAGAAGGCAGGGATACGCTAAACCCCCTACAATGAACTGGACAGGACCCCACAACAGAGAATGATCCAGCCCCAAATATCAGGCATACTGGGGGTGAAAAATCCTGCTGTAAAGTCTTTGGGGCCCTTATAAGGCCCTTACCCTGTGACAGAGGCAGCCATGCAGAGTTTGAAATGGAAGAGTGTTTTCAGAAAGATCCAGCCACAATTGGCTTCTTTACCTTTCCATGAATTCATTGCATCTACCTTGCTCTGGTTCTTTTCTGGTTTTCTTTGTCCATCCAAACACCCACCCCCACATCACGGTCTTCCAAGGCTCAGCTCACATGCCCTCCTGCTTCACCCAAGCAGCCAGTATCACTCCAGCTAGTCCTGTCACTGCAGTCTCCTCTACCTTGATTTGGCCTGATTTCCTTTTTCTCATGTGTAAGTTACTTATTGACAAATCCATCTCCCCTGTCAGACTTTGTAAGTTATCTTTGTAGCCCCAGAACAATTGCATCACTGAATTATTTATTAGCCGTTGTTGCATCCACTCCACTAGTTTCCAAGGGTACAAATTGCAAAAGAAAAAGGATGAGGAACAGTAAATGTGAAGTCTGATGGCTAAAACAGCCCTCATTCTTTCACTCTTTTTTTTTTTTTTTTTTTTAGTTCCTGCCCTTAGAAAGCTTCTGAGGACTTCTTTCTTTTTTTCTTTCCAGTAAACTTTGAATTTTAGAGTAATTTGAGATTTACAAAAAAGTTGCAAAAACAGTACAGAAAATTCCTATACACTACTCACCAATATTTTTTCCTATTAACGTCTTACATTTATTTATTTATTTATTTATTTTAGAGAGGGATGGGGGAGTAGCAGAGGGAGAGGGAGAGAGAGAACCTTAAGCAGGTTCCATGCTCAGTGCGGAGCCCAACGTCAGCCTCAATCTCACGACCCTGAGACCACAGCCTAAGCTGAAATCAAGAGTTGGACGCCCAGGCTACTGAGCCACCCAAGCACCTCATCTGACATTTCCATGGTAGTTGTCAAAACTAAAAAATCAACATTAGTACATACACAAGTACCTAAACTCCACACTATTCTGATTTCACTCGTTCTGCCACCAATGCCATGTTCTATTCCAGGACCCCATCCCACATTCTACTTAGTTTTTATGTCTCTTTCGAATCCTCTAGTCTGTGACAATTTTTCTGACTTCCTTTATTTTTGATGACCTTGACAATTTTGAGGAGTACTGGTCAGGTATTTTGTAGAATGTCCCTCCACTGGGGTTTCCCTGATTTTTTCCTCTGGGAATACTGGGGTTATGGTCTTTAGGGGAGAGTACAACAGAGGGGATGTGCTCTTCTAACCACATATCTCTGGGGATGTTAACCTTGATCACCTGGCCAAGGGAGTGTTGGCTAGACCACATCACTGGAAAGTCACTCTCCCTCAGTTCCCATGCTCCACCCTTTGAAAGCACATCACTAAGCACAGCCCACACTCCAGGTGAGAAGAGAGAGGAACATCTATATAGATTATTTGGAATTCTTCTGTAGGAAGATTGTCCCTTCTTTTGCATTTATATATTTTTCTTTAAGATTTATTTATTTATTCAAAAGAGAGAGAGAAAGAGAGAGTCCGAGTGGGAGGAGCAGAGGGAGACGGAGAGAATCTCGAGCAGACTCCACACTGAGCGCAGAGCCTGACGTGGGGCTCAATCTCACAATACTGAGATCACAACCTGAGCCAAAACCAGGAGTTGGACACCCAACTGACTGCACCACCCAGGCACCCCCGTTTTTTATCTTTCTGAGATGGGACAAAGTAGAAGACTGAAATTCATGCAAAATCTGAGAAAGAAGAAAAGCTTTGGGTCCATACTTAAGGTTCCTTTTCTCTTCCATGGTTCTCGGCTGATTCCTGATGGCTTTAATTCTGTCTCTAGATGTCATTGGTATCAGAGATGCGATTAACTTTTCTCCTGTGGAGGAAAATAAATGGAGTTTAATTTTGTTTCCTTTCACAGAATATCAGCATTTTAAAGTATGGCACTGAACTTCAAGCATGTTTATTTTTTATAAATTTTATTTATTTATTTATTTGAAAGAGAGCAAGCGAGCGTGCAAGCGCAAGAGTTGGAGAAGGGGCAGAGGGAGATGCAGACTCCCCACTGAGCCCGAAACAGGATGTGGGGCTCGATCCTGGTACTCTGGGGTCATGACCTGAGCTGAAGGCCGACACGTAACAGACTGAGCCACCCAGGTGCCCCCGAGCGTGTTTTTATAAGAGCACAAGGAAAGAAGAATAAATATATGGACTCAGTGATCCCCAAGCCACAAATGAAAACAAGACAACGTGGTTTGTTGTTGTTTTTTTTAAGTAGGCTCCATGCCCAGCATGGAGCCCAGTGCAGGGCTTGAACTCACAACCTCAAGATCAAGACCTGAGCTGAGATCAAGAGTTGGACACTTAACTGACTGAGCCACTCAGGCGCCCCAACATGGTGTATTTTTTTTTAACCTCAAAGCCAAAGCAAATGATAATGTTACATGCAATTCCAATTTGATATTTTTCTTTTTTCTGTGACAAGAAGCATTCAGTGAAGCCACAAGCCCCTGCACATCTGGTCAGGCTCGCTCTCCTCCCCTACTTGAATGTCCGAATCACTTTCACTTGACCCCCACACTCCAGGCCCAGGCACCTTCTTTACATTTCTTGACTACTGTCGTATGCTCTTCCGGCCCCTGGAATGACTCCCCCATCTTCTCCCGATAACTCATATTTACATCTTCACTCAGCATGGCAGATATTGTGGGTCACCTACCCCAGTCATTTCTTCTTCTTAATAGAATCCTGATTTTGTTTAGGAATCTACCCCCTCTTTCCCAAGGCCCTGAGCTTCTGCAGGGTGGGACCCATCTTCAGGCACAGGTGAGCCCCATGAGTCCAAGCTGATCCTTGCAGGTGACTGATTTAGGCATAAGCACGTGACAAGATGTTGGCCAATGTTCTGTGATGGGTGATCTGCTGAGGAGTTTCTTGGAAAAGGTTTCTTCCTTCTCAAAAAAGAAAAACTAAAAAACCCCCACAAAAACTCCAAGTAAAAGATCCATCTCCGTCTGGATGTTGTTGTGGCCACATGTGAAGCCTGGAACTACGATCACCATCTTGTAACGATGAGGAAGCCAACTGGGGGGCTGACCAGGGCAACAAGAGAGGCAGTGGGCTGGCTCCCTGGTTGAGTTATTGAGCTGAACTCTTCATTTGACCTAGTTGAGGTGAAAAGGAAATCCCCAAAAGAGGGTCACCAAACTCACTCTGCTGAAGACGAGAAATTTGTGTCTGTCCTGAGAGGGAAGGGTGGCTCAACAGAGAAGGAAGGACAAAGAGGAGGAGGAAAGAACACAGAGATGTGGGGAGACAGCAGCATGAGAGGAGACACCCCAATCTTTAATAAAGGGGTTCAACCCACAGAATGCTTTAGTGTGAATGGATTTTTTTTCCCTCCCAGACATCACTGAGGCTGGACTTGATGTCTGCAGTATGATGGGATGACATAGAAATAGCAGTCAGGAACCCAGGGTTTGGCCTCAGGAACAGAAAGGCAGGGAGGCAGTGTCAGCTCAAGACCTGGTTTCATGGCGGACTTGGCAATAAAGGCCATCCTATGTTGCCGAATCCAGGGTGGGGGAGGAACTGGACCAAAGCAAGACAGCGGTTAAAGCATCGGGCTTGGAAACCAGGCAGACCTGCATTTGAGCCCTGGTTCTGCCAAGGCTCACCAAGCCAATGGAAGTGATTTAATTTAATTTACTCACCAAGCAAATGGAAGGGACAAATGTGCCTACCTCAAAGTGTGGGGAATAAAGTCAAACTAAACTCAATGGATAACAAAAAGGAAGTGTTTGGCAGAGTGCTGGGCACAAAAAGTGAGCTTGATCAAGGTGAACTCCTTTCTAGGTGTTAGATGCTCCCAAAGTGACCCCTTCCTGGGTCTGTCACATCCTCAGATCATCTATTAAACTTCAACCTACTTGATGTCTTAAAACTAAATAATCCTGTAGACAACTTGGAAGCCTTTCTTGCTCCCTTCCTAACTCCTTTCACCCAGGGTCTCACTACCTTGGATGTTTTCATGTGAAGTACAAGGAGTGTCTACGCCCACACTTCCTGGGCTATGAAGGGTCTGAGAAAATGATTCATTCAAAGATGTTGAAAACTGCAACAACTGCTTGCTCTTTTTGTCATTCGGGTTGCTGAAACTCTGAGAGTCTGTCACATGGATGTCAGAAGCGGATGAGACCATGCAAAAGCTTGAGTTCACCAGCGTCTTTTCTGGAACAACCCCAGATGGAACATTCTCAACCTCAATGATGATTTCATTCACTTGGTCATCAGACAGCATCTCTTGCCTCCTCCCAGCTTTGTTCTCCACCGGAGTGGCCTTCCAGAGCAGTCACACTGACGTTGTTGGGAGCCGCCAGGAAAAGTGATGACAATCACAGAGGGATGCCCCATTCACACTTTTTTAAAGACCAGGATGAGATTGCCAAAGCCAGCCCTACACAAATCACAACATAACTCCCCACATCTACACCAGAGGGGTCTCTTCATGAAGAGATGTATTTTCCTGCAGACACCTCTGTCTTGGTAGCTAGGTAAGAAATTGGAAGCAGAATCCTTCATTAAAGACAATAGGGTTCTAGAAACAGAAGGCAGAGATTCTTCTAAATGACTCATAACCAAAGGGCAAGATTTTCCTTTTTAATTTGGTGCCCCTGGCCTAAATCTTATATTTTATATTTATAATTTTACATGCCTAGATAAACCCAGATGGGTTTATAGTAATAACAATTATTATCTCCTGACTGCCTTGGGTAGCCAACCCTACCACTTGTCTGTACCCCATATCCACTCTCCATTTTTCTCATACCCCCAGAAGCCTCCTTTCCTGTGTAGGCACTGGGCTCAACTAAAATTCTCCTAGCTTCCTTTATGGCTAAAGATGGGCTTGTAACCCCACCATTCTGGTCAATGAGACATAGAGCTTCCAAGAATGCTTTTTAAAAGGTGACAGTCTGCCTGGTTCTACTTTTTGCCCTTCACCATTTCTCCTTCTGGCTTACCAGAGGCTGCCATTTTGAAAACAAGAGGATACACATTCAGCTGTGAAGGATGGTGGAGAAAGAAGCTAAGAAGGAGCTCAGTCTTGAGAGCATCCTGGGCGGAGCTGCCATCCAAACTGTGAACCCCCTCCCACAACACTTCTTGTTACATGAGAAAAATAAATCCCTTTATTATGAAGCCATCCTACTTCAGTGCCAGGCACCTGAACACAATTCCTACCCAACAGACCTGATTTGGAAATCACCTCAGCCACGTCATTTATTTAATAGTTGGGGAAACTGAGGTGCACAAAAATAAATTGACCTCTACTCTCATCACACTCTCATAAAATGGCAGAATTGGACCAGGACTCTCCTCCTTATCCCCATCAATGATAATTAACAGTAACAATACCTGTCATTACTACAGGCCAAGTATTTTAGATTATATAATTAATTTTCATAATCACCCTATGCATTATGTACAATAACCCCCATTTTATAGCTAAGAAAACTGAGGCCCAAAAAGGTTACTTGCCTAAAGCCACAAAACCAGCAAGTAGCAGAGCTGTGAGCTAAACCCAGGTCTGTCTGGACCCAAAGCAGGGCCTCTTAATCCCTTCACCCTGGCCCCTTCCTCTAATGAGATACTGATGTATCATTTATTCATTCACAAATAAATGAATATTTATGAGTACCTACCATATGCCAAATGCTTCATAGGTGCATAGCATAATCCATCAAAGTGACGTTTTATCAGGACGCTGTCCACCATCTAACTGTACATGGTTTGAGAATCCAAACCAATGCAAAGCAAAATGGTGAAGAAAACCAGATTCATCTCTGGGTCTTCTATTTCTTTAATTCTCTCTGCCTTCTGGGACTCCCTTTCACCAAAGCCCTAGCCTCAGGCTGGCTAGATAAAGCAGTCCAATGAAGTTAAAAGCCATTTTCTTTCCTCAATAGTTAAAGTCATTTTCTGCTCTAGTGGGAACCAAATGGAGAGTGTGATCATTTATACCTCCACGGTTTTCCCTCCCAAGTAGCAATAACCAACCCTGGTAGAAGTTATACCTCTCCTTTTTTTTTTTTTTTTAAAGATTTTATTTATTTATCTGACAGAGAGAGACACAGTGAGAGAGGGGGGAACACAAGCAGGGGGAGTGGGAGAGGGAGAAGCAGGCTTCCCGCTGAGCAGGGAGCCCGATGCGGGGCTCGATCCCAGGACCCTGGGATCATGACCTGAGCCGAAGGCAGACGCTGAACGACTGAGCCACCCAGGTGCCCCAAAGTTATACCTCTCCTTAAGAAGGCTCTTAAAGAATGAGGCTAGGGGAGCCTGAGTGACTCAGTCAGTTAAGCCTTCGACTCCTGATTTCAGCTCAGGTCATGATCTCAGGGTCGTGGGATCAAGGCCCATGTCGGGCTCTGTGCTCAGTGTAGAGTTTGCTTGAGCTTTTCTCTCCCCCCCGCCCCTCCTCCTGCTCTCTCTCTCAAATAAATAAAAAAACTTAAAAAAAAAAAATGAGGCTAAAGGCTGTTATATCGGCTAGAGTGCCAGAAGGTGAGACGTGGTTTTAGGTCATGAGGCCCTTCAATTCGCATTATTGTATAGAGGATCCCATCAGTTGGTTTACTCCTTGTTGTTCATAGATTTGCCTCCGGGTTTCAGCATTCCCTGGCCTCTCTCCTCTTTTGCTTCCTTTTTATCTCTCAGTCTCTGCCTCTGACCAGACCTTCATGACCACACACAGTGATCCTTACAGGGCTTCCTAACTGATTTCACGGCATTCTGTCTTTCCCTGGTCCGACTTCTCCTAAACTCCAGCATCATAATAATTCTACGATTATTCAGAAAAACGTTGATCAATGCAGACTCAGAGGCCCTTTTTCCTATAACTCATTCACAAATTAATTCAACAAATATCTCTGAGCATCTACTATGTGTCAAGCCCTGTACTAGGTCCTGCAAGGTAATTCTACCTTCAATTAGCTTCCCCCTGTCCTTCCCGCCACATGAGCCAGTACATTCACCTTGGGCCCACATGAGTTGGGTTTCTGTCACATGAGACCAGAAGAGCCCTGATGAAGGCAACTGGATATCCAGGAAAGAAAAAAAACTCTGCATATCTACAAGAAAACCCCCATTATGGTAAATTAAGCAAGTACTGCATCAGTTACCACACCAGAAGCCTAAAGGAAATAGTGATGTCTGCATTGCCTTGAACACATTTCTCTCTAGGGTTGACGTTTTTTGGAGACCACCAATTTAAGCCTTACCTTGGGGTGACTTGTGCCAGTCGCATCCAGACAATGGTGGGTTTCCATACGCTGGGCAGGGGCTACTTTCACCCACATAAGCAGGGTTCACTGGAATGAAGAGTTAGGACACATCACCAATTAATCCCACCATACTAGATACTACTAAGCACATAATGGTCAGTAAGACCCCAACCTTGACCTTGAGGTCCTAACAGACTAATGATTGAGTGCTTGGGTGGAAAATAGGTCATAAATACGGAAAGAATTTTATTAAGCACAAAGAGCTTCAATCAATGGTTTCACTTAAGTATAAGCCATGGTTAAAAATAATTGTTACAAGGGAATATTACTCAGCCATAAAAAGAATGAAACCTTGCCATTTGCAACGACATGGATGGAGCTAGAGGATATAATGCTAAGTGAAATAAATCAGTCAGAGAAAGATAAATACCATATGATCTCACTCATATGTGGAATTTAAGAAACAAACAAGCAAAGGGAAATTAGAGAAAGAGACAAACTTAAGAAACAGACTCCTAACTATAGAGAACACACTGATGGTTACCAGAGGGGAGGTGGGGTGGGGGGATGGTTGAAATAGGTGATGGGAATTAAGAGTACATTTATCACGATGAGCACTGGGTAAGGTATGGAGCTGCTGAATCACTATATTGTACACCTGAAACTAATATAACACTGTATGTTAACTATACTGGAATTAAAATTTAAAACTTGATAAAATTTTAAAAATTATTACATTAAGATCCAGGACATACCCACACATATGTAACTGAAAAACAAGTTTCACTAAACAATACTTTGCTTGACTACATAAAAGGCACTCTGATATATTCTTATTCTATTCCATTCCTTTTTTTTTTTTTTAGGTATGCTCCATGCCCAGCAGCTCAGTGCAGGACTTGAACTCATGACCCTGAGATCAAGACCTGAGCTGAAATCAAGAGTCAGACGCTTAACCGACTGAGCCACCCAGGTGCCCCCTATTCCATTCTTTTCTATCTCATTTTTCAGAATTAATTTCACAACTTGTTAATGGGCTACAACTCGAGTTTAAAAAATACTTGTCTGGGAGGTTGAGATAAATAGAGCAGAGGATGTTTGGGGCACTGAAACTATTCTATATGATACCATAAGGGTGTTATATGTTATTACACATTTGTTCAAACTCATAGAATTTATAGCACCAAGAGTGAACCCTGATGTTACCTATGGACTAGAGATGATAATGATGCGTCGATGTAGATGCATCAATCATAAGACATGTATCATTCTGGGGCCAGATGTTGATAATGGGAGAGTCTTTGCCATGTGGGGAAAGGAGTTCTGTGGAAAATCTCTGTACCTTCCCTTCTCTCAATTTTACTGTGAACCTAACACTGTTCTCAAAAAAAAATTTAAGACAAAAAAAAAAGAAACAAAGACAGAAACTTGTCTAGATGATCACAGAAGTTCCTTCTATTTCTAACATGTTATGATAACACATGAATAAATTTGAAAGATGGCATGATTTCCTTAGGGACAGAGTCTACTCTCAGCATCTACACAACAGTGTCATATTTCAGTATATTTTTATTCAGCCCACAGAAAACATTAAAAGCTAAACTCCATGGGGCGCCTGGGTGGCTCAGTCAGTTAAGCGGCTGCCTTCGGCTCAGGTCATGATCCCAGGGTCCTGGGATCGAGTCCCGCATCGGGCTCCCTGCTCAGACGGGAGTCTGCTTCTCCCTCTCCTTCTGCCTGCCTCTCTGCCTATTCTTTCTCTCTCTCTGTCAAATAAATAAATAAATAAATAAAATCTTCAAAAAAAAAAAAAAGCTAAACTCCACAACAGAGAAAATGGAACACAGTTTGATGTGAACGATGCACAAAATTACATCGCAGGAAGTTCTGAACTTCTTGCTGGGTATCAGTTCCCAGCTTTGTTACTGGCTGATGCCCTCCAGCATGTTACCTAACCTCTCTGAGCTACAATATCATAGTCTGTAAAACAGGAATAATGATGGGAGCTTCACATGGCATTGTTGAGGGAACCACATCAGTTAACACATGCAAAGTGCTTAACGTAATCCTGGAACATAGTAAACTATTGCTATATATTAATTATTGTGGTAGATCCATTGTTATTCAGCATATACCACACCACCATTCCCTGGACACCTCCCCTGAAGTTGGGCTTGGTCATGTGACTTTGATCAATGGAACATGGCAGAAGTGACCGTATGCCAGGTCCATGTCAAAACCTTAGACACATTGTGGGTTTTTGCTTGTCACTTCGAGCACTTCCAGCTTATGTCATGGAACAACAATGCCCCCAAGTGGCTCCCTGGTTCAAGATGAAGGACACTAGGCTCTAGACACAGAACCCATGACCTGGAGTCAAGCACAGCCACACCCAGCCTAGTTCAATCAACTCCAAGCAAACCTGAACATGTGTGAGTGAGAAATAAATGCTTCTTTATTGTACAACACTGGGTTTTTGCATCTGTTTGTTATGCAGCATTACTGTGGCAATAGCTAACTGATACATCCTTACCAATATTGTTGCTATTAATTCATTTAGCACTGCTTTAGCACCTACTGTGGTCAGGCACTGTGACACTAGGAAAATCACCTAGAGCTTTAAAGAATACATGGATGAAGATGGGTTCTTAATGAGGCATCATCTATAACGATGGCATAGCATGGACAAGTGATTGCCAAGGGCTACAACCCTGGTCCTACAAAGGAGTCCAGAAAAAGAAGTCATACTCAACTACTTTTTTTTTTTTTAAGCATAAGTAGTCAGGGGCACCTAGGTGGCTCAGTTGGTTAAGCATCTGCCTTCAGCTCAGGTCATGATCTCAGGGTCCTGGGATCGAGCCCCATGTCAGGCTCCCGGCTCAGTGGGAGTTTACTTCTCCCTCTCCCTCGGCCCCGCCCCCCCAACTCGTGTTCTCTCTTACACGGTCTGCTCGCTCTCTCTCAAATAAATAAATAAATAAATAATCTTTTAAAAAATAAATAAATAAATAAAGCATAAGTGGTCAGGAATCTTTTTGCATTTGCCCTGATCCTACCCAGCAATAATACAGGATAAGTAAGAGTCAGGCTTTGGGTCAGAGAGACTGGTTCTTTCAATATAACAGTGAGGTGATCTTGGACACTGTGCCTCTGAGCCTCAGTTTTCCCATCTATAAATAGGGAGAGCAGTAGTGGCTGTATGAAAGGTGGTTGTTCAGATTTAAACAAGACAATAAAAGTAAAGTGCTTGGCAGAGGTCTCCAGGGCATAGGAAACACTCAAAATCTGCTCGGCATTATTAGCTCCACCTGCATTGGGGTAGGGCTGTGTTTATCAATCTTTTTTTCATTATTTCATTTATTCATTATTTCATTATTTGCCCCCTAAGGAGCAGTTATCCTCCCCCCATGAAATTTTAATACTACAGCTATACTGTATATCTGCTTATATATGTGTATCAGTAGTTTATATATAAAAAGAGGAAGACTTTTCTGGCCTTTCAAGAATAAATTTTACCAGGGCACCAGGTGGCTCAGTCGGTTAAGCGTCCAACTCTTGGTTTCAGCTCAATTCATGATCTCAGGGTCCTGGGATCAAGCCTTGTGTCAGGCTCCGTGCTCAGGAGAGAGTCTACTTGAGATTCTCTCTCTCCCCCTCCTCTAACTCTCCCCCCACTCATGCACGCACATGCACTCTCTCTCTCTAAAATAAATAAATAAATAAATCTTTAAAAAAAGAATAAATTTTACCCCCTTGGGATTTATATTGCTGCCCACCACCCCCCTCCCCCCGCCAGAATTGAGAATGCATGACATAAAGGTTTGGAATAGACCAAATGAATGTATTTCTATGCAAATGTGTATTAGTGTTTTTCATCAGTGCATGACAAGGCATCCCATCCTTTCTTCTCAGTCTGCTTCAAACTCCTCCCCATCCACCCTCTCAGGCATAAGGAATCCTCCATCAGCACCAACCAGCACTTGGGTCCCTCATTCTGTTCTTGGCTGAACACACCTTCTCTTTTCTGGATCCCACAGCGGGGGTGGGGTGTGTGTGGCTCTCGCGTAATGAACTGACTCCCTTTACTAGACAGCAAGTCCCTATTCCCTCCTGGAGGATAAGAACTTTAGAATTTCCTTTGCCTCCCAGAGCTAAACCTTTGCACACAGTAGATTCTGAGGATGACATGATTGTTCACATATGAATAGTCTGCTTGCTAATTTTTTTCTCAGTCTTGACATGCTGGTGTCACCCACCCTTATGCTTTAAGTAATTTGAGGACAGAGCTGACTCTTACTACCCTTGCCCACCCAGTAGGTTCTGAATACCCACTTGCTGCCTGTCTGAACAGTACAGACTAAATCTAGCCCACAAGTGATTTTGTTTGCCCAGTTCAATGTTTTGATTTTTTTTTCTTTATTTTGGAGCATTTAAAAATCAGGAGGTTTCACATAAAAACCCAGATTTCTTCCTTCTTTAGAAAAATCTGAGGATTTGGTCATACTGAGCCCACATTTCCCCATAACCCCAATGGGCCAAATATGAACATCAGTCACCTCATGTAGGCACAGGGTGTGCACACTCTCATTTTTCATAATCCCTAAGCAGGTTGCTTTGACAAGTGATGATACTGCTTGTCTTTTCTAGACCCTCAATGTTCAGCCTTTGTAAGGTGGGTGTTTGAAAGGGGAGGGATAAACCAATTCTTCTCTTCCTGGAACTGTTAAATAAATGCTCCCCTAAGTCTACTGATTTTACTTTCTTCCCAGGATATGATCTTATCTTAACAAATGCTTACCATAGCCATTGCCAGGAGCCCCGGGCACAGAATCGTCACATGGATTTGCCATCCCCATGGACTTCATTGCAATGCTTTCAGGGTAATCTTCATTCTCTCTCTCAAGGACGCCCAAGGGGCCATCACTACTATGACGAAATGAGGGCCGGATTGAAGATGTTCTGCTGAGCACCCTGAAATCCCAAAATGATGGATCAAGATTCATCCAGGAGCATAGTAAGGACAGTCATCCATTCATCATCCAACCATCCATGCATCCATTCATTCATTCCACAAATGCTGACCGAATGCCAACCATATGTTAGGCAAGGTCTAGGGGGTGAGAACACAAAGATAAAAACACGAGGTGTTTACCCTCAAGGAACTCTCAATCCAATCTGGTAGAGCTTCTTAGACACAGTTAAGCAATTATAATACAAGTAGTAACTGGTGAGTACCTGAAGACAGGCCCAAGGAGTTCAGAGGAAAGAGAAAAGAATTCTGGCTGGCAGTTTGGAGGGAAATCTACATGGAAAAGAAACATTGCACGTAGGATTGGAAGGATAAATTCATACATAAAGGGGCGCCTGGATGGCTCAGTCATTGAGCATCTGCCTTCGGCTCAGGTCATGATCCCAGGGTCCTGGGATTGAGCCCCGCACCGGGCTCCCTGCTCAGCAGGAGGCCTGCTTCTCCCTCTCCCACTCCCCCTGCTTGTGTTCCCTCTCTCGCTGTGTCCTCTCTGTCAAATAAATAAATAAAATCTTTTTTTAAAAAAATCATACATAAAGAGTTAGGAGGAGAGCATTCCAAGGATGAAGAACAGCATAAATAAAGGTGTAAGACCATAAACAGAAGTGCTGAATATATAAAGGGAATACTATAAAAATGAATTAACCTGGAGCAATGGTCTCAATTTTAGGTAACTGCCAATTTCCAGTCCCTGCCCCAGACAATGACCTCAGAAGCTCTGGAAGTTGGGTCCAGGCATTTGTATTATTTTTAAAGTTCTCCAGGTAATCAGGTGATTCTAAGGTCCAGTCCAGGTCAAGAACCACTGTACTAGAGGAAGGGAGGGGATAGGGAAGGTAGAGAAATGGGAGGAGGTCAGTTAGGCGGGTCTTTGGAAGCACTTTACATTAGACCAGTGCATCCTACTTCTTAAATGTTATCATAAGCAAAGCAGTGTGGCCTTTCTTCCAAAGGTTATGGAAAACCATGGAAGATCAAAAACCAAGGAGTGAGGGGTGCCTGGGTGGCTCAGTCATTAAGCATCTGCTTTCGGCTCAGGTCATGATCCTGGCCGGAGTCCTGGGATCTAGCCCCATATTGGGCTCCCTGCTCCGCGAGAAGCCTGCTTCTCCCTCTCCCACTCCCCCTGCTTGTGTTCCCTCTCTCGCTGCATCTCTCTCTGTCAAAAAAATAAATAAAATAAAATAAAAAAAAATGAGTGAGAGAATCAAAGATATATTTTGAAATGATGAATCAGGCAGAGGGATAAGGCCAAGGAGGCCATTTTGATCTGGTTCTGTTAATCCTCCTATTTAGGTTCTGAAGACATTTGACCCTACTGCACACCCAAATCTTATATCCTTATTCCTCAAGATAAATACAAGCCATTAGCTTTTGTTGAATTTATACATATTACTAGTAGAACTAGTCCATGCCAAATGAGACACATATTGGTTAAATTTTCACAGGGTAAAATTTTTTATAGATTAAAAATAACCTGACTAAAGAATCACATCTCGTTGACAACAGGAATATCGAAAACTTACCCCAGAAAAAAATCAGATTTGGTAGAACTAAGTCATCCAAACTAACACTGTCAATGTCCAGGATTGTACTTAGTAAAATTTGTCAATGACCAAAAATTGCTGGAAAATTAAAAAGATTTTGGACAAAATTTAGATCTACAAAATCTGAACTAGGAAAAACTGGACTTAGTTTTTTAGAACGAACTTAAAGGAATACCAACAATGGGGGAAACTATGATTGATAAAATCTGATGACTACAACAACAATGTAGAAGATCAATAAGCTAAATCTGCCATAAACATGAAAAGTGATCAATTCAGATGACAATAATTATAGTAAAATAAAAATGAAAGTGGAAAGAAATCAGGAGTGGTTCAACCACCTTGAGTTAAAAAAAAAAATTGAGGAATTAAGTTGAGTTCATGGAGTTAGATCTTCAAAAGATTTTCTTGGTTAAAAATGCATTCCTGTGGATAAAATTCTGGTTAAAATGTTTGGGTTCATAACTATCAAGTCTTAACCCTAACTTTATTGGCAAAGTAGCAGGGTCAAAACAGTGGGAATCTAAATGTCTTGTAGGGATTATAGGAAGAGGTAGGAGACTGGGGAGGGTGCTATCCAAGCAAGAGGTGATGAAAGATTATGTTCAGGTAAGGGCTTGAAAGCTCAGACTGAAAGTCCATGGCCCAGGTGAGGTCTGCGGTAGGTATGAAAGTTTCCTACAACTTCAGGTCACAGAAACCATCTTACGTGTCCCCCACCCAAATAACACCAACCAGGTTCCATTGGCTTGATGAAATATCATTCAGCACCCCCCTCCAAATGGACGGAGATGCTTGCACTTACTCTCTGGTCATTTCTGAAGTCTCAGAAGAGCCATAATCATGACCATTCTCAGCAACTGGGTAATCAGGCTTCCCCCAAAAGTTTGGAGAGTTCTGATAGTCCTCAGCATTGGGATAGTCTGGTTCCCCAAAAAAGTTTGGAGAGCTAGGTTGATTCTCAGCTCCTGGATAATCAGGCTCTCCCAGAGTGTCCATGTATGGATTGATTCTGGAACCAGCATATTCTGGAATCCTGGTTGGAATCCAACCCAGATGGTTGGAATTTGCCCTGGAGCCAGGATGGTTAGAGTTTCTCTGAGCTCCAGGGTAGTCTGGTTCTCCCAAAGAGTCGAGATAATCAGGATTTGTTCTGGAGCCTGCATAGTTTCCACTGCTTCTGGAACCTGCAAAGTCAGAATTCCATTGGGATTCAGAGTAGCCTGGCTCTCTGGATGACCCTGGATGGTACGGTTTGCTCCAAGATCCAATATAATCGGGCTCTGCCAAAGATATGGGATAATCTGAACTTCTTCTAGAGCCAGCAGAGAATGAGTTGCTTCTGGTGCCAGACTGGTATGGATTACTCCGAGATCCAGGATAATCTGGTTCTGCTATAGACCCAGGATAGTCTGGACCTGTTCTGTAGTCTGCAGAGTATGGGTTGCTCCTGGTGCTAGGGTAGCCTGAGTTGTTCAGAGCATCTGAAGAATCTGGATAATCCTGAGTTTTCAAATGCCCCCATGTACGGTTCCGAGATCCTGAATAGTCAGGGTAATCTGATTCTTCCTCATACCCATTATTCCTGTAGTAGGCAGACATGCTGGCACAGATTCTTCACCCTGGAGTGTTAAAACGTTCCTGCATTTGAGTTACTCAGGGATCTTTTTTTAATCTGAAAAACAAAAAGAAGGAAACATTCAGATTTTTTTCTTCCCTGCCGAGACTGCTGGTTATCTTCCACCATCTATTCTCCTTTCTTTCACAGCTGGGTGCACAGCTGCCCAGAATCAGTATACTTCCCAGTCTCCTGTGCACCAAGATGTGACCAGGAGAGTGGACAATGGGATGTGAGCAGAAGCAATAAATAGAACTCCCAGGTTTGTGCTGTTTAAGGCAAGGGGCATTTCTCCCCTTCTTGGTCTTCTTACCTACCTCCTGTGGGCTGGGATGTGGAAATGATGGTGTGCCCTCTTGGGCCATGGACACAAAGGCGGCACCCACCCTAGAGATCATAGCACAACAGATGGAAGAAGCCTGGGTTGCTGATGACATCACAGATCAGTGCCAACATACCAGCTTGGGCTTTTATGTAAAAAAAATAAAATAAAACTTTATCTTGCGTAAGCCACTGTTGTCGGGGGAGTCTCTGATACATGTGGCCAAACTTAGATCCTAACCACTACATTCCTTTGGTTGTGGGAGAAGCAGAACAAAAAACGGAAAGACTAGAAGAAACAAGGACTCTTTGAGCACTTTGAATGCACTTGTGGTTGCAGGATTGATCAAAGCATAAATTAGTATGAGTGTGCAAAGGAAGAACAGTTAATGGTAACTAGAGGAATTGAGTAAGAAGACAAATGCTACCACTCCTTCCAGTTTGAAAATATGATTTTGTGAGTTCTCTGAGCTCTAATCTATAGACCTGGTATACTTTCCAAATCAGAAAAAATGGGATTTTAATTTCTAAGTGTGCTGGATATCTGTGGCTTTTACTAGCCTATTATTCATTTCCCCTTCTTTTGGCATCAATGCCCTGATTTTCATCTAGGCATCTGCCCCTCCCCATTCCTGACTCCAAGGACTGTCACATGACCCAGGCCTAGCCAATCAGCGTCCACGATGCCCCTGGCCACAGGGTTTGGCTCAGAAATGGGCACATAACCCATACTGGTCCTCCAGGATCAGATTAACTGGGAAAGACACACTCGTAGGTCACTAGGTTGCCATGGTGATGGAATATGAGCCTGGAACTGCTGGTATAGTGTCCATAGAAACAGAGAAGAAAATAAGTAGGAGAGAAAACAGAAAGGAAAAATCAACAGGATTTGTGGGACTGACCAGATATCGGAAGGGTGAAAGGTAACTCAGACAAAAATAGCTCCACAGTTTCAAGCCATCGTGATTAGATAAAGTGTTGATGTAATTGAAAGCAGGAAGTATACCATTTTTAAAGTTCAGCCAATGTTGACAAGTTTATCTCTACGCAAACGAAAAGGGTTAGACTCTTTGTTGACTAATCAGAGCTGAAGAATTAACTGTAGTCTTAGAATGTTCATTTGCCAATTCAATTCCAGATTCCTCAGCATAGTGGAAGTCGGTTGTTTATTATTTTGTCCCTGCTGAGCATCTATTTCTCTCTTTTGTGATAATACTTTTCCTTGAGTAATACCTCTTCCCCCTCTCAGTCCAAATGGGCCACATGTGGACATATAACCCAAGTAGAATTCTTTTCTTTCTGGCCACAGTGATTGGGTCAGGGTACATAACCCAGTCAGATCCCGTGAGATTCAATTATGGAAGTTTTGTAAGAAATGTTGGGAAGAGAGAAGCTCTCTCTCGTGGCTGGACTTGAGGTTAGGAAGTTATAAGACTGAAGCTTCCAGTGGTCATCAGTGGAGGAGGCCTGTCTGAGAGTGATGTCAACAGGGAAGAGATAAGAGTCAAGAGATAAACCGAAAGATCAAATACTGATGACAGTGTTCAAGCACCTGAATCCAGCCATGCCTGAAGACAGCTGACCACTGGACACCTGAATCATTACATTCCCTTTAGACTTAAGTTAGTTTAAGCTGGGTTTCTGTCATTTACAAATGAAAGAGAAGAATTCTGACTGATACATCCAGTTTTGCAAACAGAAACATCTACGTGCACACACACACACACACAGAGAAACATCTACACAAACTGTGTCACGAAGACTAAATGCTATGTGATAATGCAAATTATTTGCTTATATTTAAGACTACAAGTTAACATATTTATGATCTAGGATTTCCGTGGCCTACCAAAACCCCAGCTATCACATCTAAAAAGCTAACTGATGCCTTCTAAATTCAAGAAAGTGAAACCTGGTACAGTACAACCTAAGAGAAATGAGTATGTCCACCAAAAGGCAATAAGAGCATTCACAGCAGCTTTTTTTCCATAAATGCCAGAAATTGGAAACAACCAAATGTCCTTCAACAGCAGAAGTCAATAAACTGTAGCATATTCATACAATGAAATACTACACAGAAGTAACAAAGACTGACTATCTGTTAGATGCAATGACGTGGACGCAGCTCACAAATATTAACAATGACTCTAAGAGTCAGATACAAAAGTGTACAGACTGAATAACATTTACACAAGTTCAAGAACAGAAAAACTAGTAAATGGTGCTAAAAGTCAGAATAGTGATTACCTTCGGGAAGGGAGGGGATGGGAAATGACATGAGGGGGACTCTGGGTGCTGGAATGTTCCATATCTTGATCTGGGTGATGGTTACATGGGGGGGGTGTGGCGTACGTGTGTGTTTGTGTGAAAATTAATCAAATACACTTAATTACGCACACCTCTGTAAATATATTTGTCCTTAAAAAGAAAAGGAGGGGCGCCCGGGTGGCTCAGTCATTAAGCGTCTGCCTTTGGCTCAGGTCATGATCCCGGGGTCCTGAGATCAAGCCCCACATCAGGCTCCCTGCTTGGCGGGAGGCCTGCTTCTCCCTCTCCCACTCCCCCTGCTTGTGTTCCCTCTCGCTGTCTCTCTCTCTCTCTGTCAAATGAATAAATAAAATCTTTAAAAATAAATAAATAAATAAAAAGAAAAGGAAAATGAAAAAGACCTAAACTGGAAGACATAACACAAAACCCTCTATTTCCCCCAAGGGGCTCTGAAAAAAGAAAAAAAGAAGGGTTCCGGCTTACAAATATCCCCAATTTTCTTTCCTTTTTTTTTTAAAGGGATACAGATTTTATTTATTTATTTGAGAGAGAGAATGAGAGAGAGAGAGCACATGAGAGGGGGGAGGGGCAGAGGGAGAAGCAGACTCCCTGCTGAGCAGGGAGCCTGATGCGGGACTCAATCCTGGGACTCCAGGATCATGACCTGAGCCGAAGGCAGTCGCTTAACCAACTGAGCCACCCAGGCACCCCTCCCCAATTTTCTTTTTTCTTCCCTGCTCAGCGGGAAGCCTGCTTCTCCTTCTCCGTTCCCCCTGCTTGTGTTTCCTCTCTCGCTGTGTCTCTCTCTCAAACAAATAAATAAATAAATAAATAATATTTTAAAATCAAAGTGGCTAGGAGCCCAGCCCTTGGCATCAGGTATAATGGGATTTAGTTTCCCTCTGCTCCTGTGGGGACATGGGAAAGCCTCTTAACCTCTCTGAGTCTGTTTCCTGGCCCATCCAATCCTAACAATAATATCTCATAAGGCTGTTGTAAAGAATGAACGAGATAAGGCAAATAAAGCAGTTGACACTGAGGAAGCAGGAAGCATTCACTGAAAAGAAGCTATTATTTACCATTATTTGTATTTATGTGTAATATAAACCCTGGCAAGTTCCAAAAGAGAAGGAAGTTGGTAGATAAAGTCCTGCACTCAACCAGGAAACAATTAAAAAATAGACAATGTTTCTGGGATGCCTGGGTGGCTCAGTCAGTTAAACAGCTGTCTTCGGCTCAGGTCATGATCCCAGGGTCCTGGGACTGAGTCCCGCATCGGGTTCCTTGGTTACAGGAGAACCTGCTTCTCCCTCTGCTTGGCTCTCTTCCTTCCCTCCCTCCCTCTCTCTCTCTCTTTCTGACAAATAAATAAGTAAAATCTTTAAAAATAAATAAATAGGGCGCCTGGGTGGCTCAGATGGTTAAGCATCTGCCTTCGGCTCAGGTCATGATCCCGGGGTCCTGGGATCGAGTCCCACATCGGGCTCCCTGCTCCTTGGGAGACTGCTTCTCCCTCTGCCTCTCTCTCTCTCTCTCTCTGTCTCTCATGAATAAATAAATAAATAAAATCTTTAAAAAATAAATAAATAAATAAATAAATAAATAATAAAAAATAGACAACGTTTTATTAGAGGGAGGAGCAATTCTGCATAATTCCAAGATTGACGTAGTGAGTCTACCCGAGAATTAAATTTTGCTGTGAGCTTATTAGTCCAGACTGAAAGGGAATCATGAAAGGCTATCTAATACTCACTACCTGTGAAAAAGAGGAGGTATACCAGTTCTCCAAGAGGGCCACACTTCTTCCCAGGATGAATTTCTTAAAAGAATGTATCATAAGAATGTTTCCAAAGGGATCGGATAACCATACAATACCACAGAAAAGGACTGAAAAAGAAGAAGGAGGAAATAACCACAAGGAAATAATCTTGTATTGATTGTCAAATATAGTGGGAGTGATCTTCCAAGAATCCTACTCATAGTTTCCTATTAACTCTTAACCGAAACAAATGTCCGCCCTTTCAAAAGAACACTTTCGCTTGTGCCTTGGAAAAGCTCAAAGAGGATACTATATATATATTTTTCCCCTCCAAATTGTATTGCTTTACTAACTTCCCGATAAGGGCTATTGAGCTATCTACTCGGAGTTCTCCTTTTGAGATCAGATTGACATCCATCTCATCCTTGACGTCCCATTTAGGATTTCCCACTTCACAGTTTCGATGGTTTTTCAATCACATTCCCAAACATTTATAATGCCTTCTAAATCTGTTCATTGTAGACTCCCTGTTTGATCTTGCAAGGCTTCTGGTTTGAATGGGTGATCCTAATAATCCTGCATTTGTCATTCAGCTAGTCCAGGAATGTTCAGGGGACGAATTCCAACCTACAGTCTTGATGAGGTCTCATTCCGGCTACTTCATCTGTTTGTCAGCTGCCTCTTAGCCTTCCCAGACTTAAGACAA